CTTGACAACGGAGCTGTTGTAGTTCACGTAACCATCTCCTTTCATGATCACCTCTGTTGCTTTCTTCACATCATCAATTTAAATTGATTTTTGAAAGCAGATGTGCCGTCAGAATGGTAAAAGCAGTCCCAGTCACGTCTAAATGCAATACACAAGGGTAGCCTAAAGAGATGAACTGCCTGGCTACTGCAGTCTATGGTCGTACACCAAAGACCCAGAGCATTGGCGATGACATTTATACCCGCTTATTTCGGTTGATTTCTAAAGATGTCAATAAGTGAGTCATGTAAATATGGTGCTTATCCAATAGATGAGCAAGTGAAGACGCAGGATGACTGAATTTTTAGTCTTTTGTTATTTTCATTCTTGATTTTTCTCCAACTAGTTCTCTAATGACCTGTAATGAGAAAACGATGAAAGCGTTTCTTTAATTATATAAGAGAAGTAGCTCTTTGAAATTTTTTCTATTGTAAACTTCTTGAATACTTATTTGAGAAATAGTTCGGAATTTATCACAATATTGATTATAATGGAATTCACTGCGTTACTCCGAGTGATCAACATCCATGTGCCTCGCCAGGTTACTGCTTTTTAAGCTACAATTTTTTTTCGGTTAAATAAGAGCGTATGTATTAGACACATTGTAGTTCACTTTTAGTTTCCACGGACAGTGTCAGTTGCTGAGACCAAGAGCTGTCCAAACGGACCCGATGCCAACATTCGAACCGCTCTGTTCATCACATCTTGCCACATCTGTCTCTACCAATTAGCCATAATGGTGTTTGTTGTCTATACAAACTTTTCTTAACAAAATAAATTTGAATAAAAAGGAGTGTTGTTCAAACGGAGAAAGTTCCTGAAACTGGTGTGACATTGGAGGGAACAGGCGTTATTTTTGCCATAGCTGGCATATCACACTCCTTATCATCGACCTTATCGTAGCCCAAATTCCCGTTGCCGTGTTGCCGACGATAATGCAACGCGGCGGTTCGGCCATTTTACTGAAGCAAAATATATGCTCTGAATGTACATCTTTTTCTATAACAGAAAAAAACAAAAGAGGTGAAAACACTTTTGAAAATTGATATTCTCTTAATCTTTAAAACTTTTAAACTATCTATTGACACGATGGGGACTGGTGGCCGGTTGTAGCGATGTTTGGGGCGGCCCTATTCGAATGATCCTATAGATTCCCAACACTCTCTGATAATCAATAATGATTGCGTTACGGAAACGCCCCAGCATGGCCATCTTCGAAATTACTAGATGTGCGCAGCCAGTATTCTACTATGTTGTCGAAAAAGACGAATAAACCATGAATGCTAGAATTACTGGGACCAGCACAAAAAAGAAATTACTGTCTTAGAGATCAGTTGCGTTGTGTGTCCCAACCGGGAACGTTGGAAAAAAGTATTTTTCGGTGGTATTGAAAGGAATAATCAATCAATATCTCGAAGTCTCAAAAGAAAAATAAAACCTCTCTTCTTTGGAAATTGTCATTGATGCGCTGTAACGGCAAGGATAAAATTATGTTCCTCATTCCAAACTTTCTCGCTGGAACGGAAATATTTCTTTTAAATTACTGTAAACTCTTCGATTGTTAATTTCTACACCTTTAATGATATATTCGGCTCTTCAAAAAAAGCTTTTTATACACCGCAACAAAGGAGAAGGTTGAGTTTCGCAATTTGGATAGCCTTCTTCATAAGCACTTTTTTCGATCCATTGAAAAGAACGCGCGCCTCTTAACCTTTGCTTGCAAATTTAACAGCTATTAATAGCATAAATCTCAGGAAGTTGAACGGTGCGTTTTTTCAATTGGCTTTAATATGCATTGTAGCATGGAAATGAAAATATGTTACTCATTCAAACAGCTTCCGGTGAACAAAACTTTTCTCCCGAACTTTGGTAGCAGTTCGATAACCAAAATCCACAAGCGTATTTTCTTTTCAAAAATGACTATTTATTGCGTCACAATAGTCAGAAGAATGTGGTGTTTTCGCGCAGCTCCCATGGACGCTAACGCCGCGCTTTGCCAGTATGTGGAGGGATTTCGCAATATTGCCACTAACCCACCTGGCTTTTCCAGAGGCAAATTCAAATGTTCGAAATCCAGTCTTCTTTCGATGGTTGCAGCGCACTATGAAATCTTTCAAAAACAAAATACATTGTTGGAGTTGTTCGTGACTATCAAGATATCGAATGGCTGCTGAAGTCCAAAGAAAAAACTTTGTTCAACAAGAAATGTTTAAATGAGAAATATAATTTTTTTTTGCGTCACAGCGCATCTGAAAGGACGTTTTGGAAACAAAAGCAAACCCAGGTTTTTCCAATATTTAAGCTATCGAATGACTCACTCAAGCTTTGAAAACAGCTTGAAAGTTCGGCCTTCTCGCAAGTTCAAACTGGGGGGAGGGGGTAGGCGGTTAAGGAAAAGCACTGAAAATACGGTGATGTGAGCCAAATAAGGTGAAAGAAAAGTGCTTGGCTTATTGAGTTTTGCATCAGTCTAGAAACTGACATATAAAATGGCGTTAAAAGAATTCAGTAAATCTCAAAAGGTACAACTTTAGTGCCTTTTGATAGATTTTCTGATGCTGTAGGACATTTCAGTCGAAACAGAAACAGTAATAGAGGTTCTGGATAACCAGGGCGTCTCAACTCGGTATATAAACGATCCCATCGTGAGCTATATAAAAATTTCACTAATAAAATATTGCCAGTATACAACAATATTACCATCTACGTAAGAAGAGGGGTTCGACAAGGCGATACAATTTCGCCAAAATTATTCACTGCCACCCTACAAAACGTCATGCGACAACATTGAAATGGGACGATACGGGAGTGAAACTTCGACGGTCGATAATTGAACTGTTTTTACTTCGTTGATGATATCGTCCTCATGACACCAAGCATCAGCCAGCGGAACAAATGTTCCACGATTTCCAACATCACCTATGGAAAGATTGGTCTCCGACTAAGTCCGATGAAAGCGATGTTTATGAGCAATGCATGGGCTCTGAATGCGCCATTCACACTTAACTAAACGAACATTACTAAATGCTCTAGTGAGGTCTAGCTAGGGTGTGAAAATAAAATAGAACGACTTAGCTTCAGAGTTGAGGAGGAAACGAGCGGTTTGGGGAGCGCAAAATTCGAGTGACTCACTAGTTTCAGAAACGGTCCTTTCTTGATGTTTAATTACTTCTTATAAAAGATATGACCATTTCTTGATGAACGGTTGAATAGATTTCTAGTTACGACTTTGAATGATGTCACAGTAGATGATTTCCCAATTATTTGCTCTATTTTGTTAATTTTATCCTTACAATACTTCTACAGCTTGTTTCTTTATGGCCACTTGTAAGAAAACGATGAGGACGTTTCCTCAGTTCATAAGCAGAGAAAGGTCTTTCTGCAATTCTGTTAGCTGCATATTTCTCAACCACATCCTATGGAATAACCAAGTTCAAATTCATTGCTTTGTTTGTTTCAAGCATGTTAATCGAACACTTTGACGTATCAACACACTTGTGACATGATAATTTATATCCGTTTCTCATAAATTTGAGGTAAATAAGGGTGTCTGAATTAAGCATATCATGATTCAACTTCAGTTTTCCACGGACAGTGCCAGATGCCGAGATGAAATTTGTTCCAAATGGACCCGATGCCAACATTCGAACCGCTCGGTTTAACACATTTTGCCATATCTGCCTCGACCAGTTCGCCATGATGAGATTCGTGGTCTAAATAGATTTTCTTTTTTGCAAAATAACCTTAAAGAAGAAAGGAGTTGTTCAAACCATGAGAGTCCCTGAAACCGATGTGTAATTTCCGGGAACAATTGTTATTGTCGCTTTGTTTGGTTCTGACATTTTACACATTCCTTCCTGCGCACCACCAATGCAAATTCCCGTCACCGTGGTACCAGCGATGATGCAGCGCCGTGGAGGATGCTGCTGTGGCCTCATCATCTGAACTGCCAAAAAAAACTTCAAGTTCTGAAATCACACCTTCTATTACAGTAGAAAAGCGCGAAAACCTAAAAGCTATTTTGAGCGCCGATTTTTATGTTCATTAAACCCTCTGGCCGTTACCTTGTCCTTTAATATACCAAGTCATCCATAGAAAAACATTAAAAGATTTGCTAAAAAATATCGTCTATTCTAAGGTGCCTGATTTTAGCGCCATTGTAATGATTCCTCTCATATTCTAAATATCTCTTGGTAATCTCCTAGAAACTGCTTGTTTTTTTCCAAACAGTGACAAACACATTTCCGACTTCATAGTGCGTGTTGTGTTTCTTTTTGAGATTTTCGAATGGGCGATAATTATTGAATACCCACCCATTTCTTCTCGAGTAATGGCAACTGCAGGGCATTCCATCGGTTCGTAAGTGATGTTAACAGAAAGTTGACCCAGAATGGTCGAGATTAGAGCATCAGGCAAAAATGCACTACGAGCTTGGCTTTCGAGAACATCAAGGACCTGAGCAACAATTTTTTGAATTTGGTTAAGAGGTGTATTTGAAGATGTCTGCAATGAATTTGTGTGATACCATGCAGTTCAGGCTGAACAGTCGTCAAAAAGCTAATTACATCTTCTACAAATTTTTTGATCAGCGGAAAAGTAGATATAGATATATGTAGTATGAGAGCTGCTAACTTACTGTTTGCATCACAAGACGTTGAACAAATCCATGAGCTGCTCCTCTGTTACTTGCACTACCAGGCACTTGGGCTTGGACATCGGTTGCGGCAGAGTAAACCATGGAAACAGGCAAACTGAACCTCCGACGGTGAAGGACCGAGAGCTAGCTGCAACAAGATTTCCCTCTATTTGATGACTAATCAAACACTTAGTTATCCCATAACCATAGTGGCTCAAGCCTATCCTCTCTCTTTTACTTCGAAAATTATAGTACTACTGCTTTTTTTCACAGTATTATGATGTTACTTATATAACTAAGAGAATTGAGTGGTGAACAAAAACACGACCTCAGACGGGAATCGAATCCGCGTTTTATCCTATCGGGGGACGCGTGCTCTACCACTGTACCACCGAAGCACATTTGCTCTACCACTCATTCTTCAACATCTCTATGTCAGCTATCAGCCGCCAACCTTGCATGGTTTGGTCGGATATGCGATTTCGCTCTATAAATCCCGTTAAGCTGACAACTGTTGCATGTAATACTTCGAAATATATAGTATTTCTACTGTTTTTTTTTTCGCAGTATTATGATGTTACTTATATAACTAAGAGAATTGAGTAGTGAGCAAAAACACCTCCTCAGGCGGGAATCGAACCCGCGTTTCATCCTATTTGGGGCGCGTATTAGTTATCATATTGGCAGTCAGCTCAACTGGGTTTATAAAGCGAAATCGCATACCCGACCAGACTTGTTAAAGGTTGGTGGTTGATAGCCAACAGAGAGATGTTGAAGAATGGTGTGGTTGAGCAAATGTGTCTCTCTCTTTTTAATTGTTCAAAATTCGATATAGTTTCAATAGATTCTACAGACTGCGACCATTTTTGGGCATTGATGAAGTGTCAGAACTATTCACTTTGATCGGAAATCATAGCTAGCAATTTAAGACAATTTGATCACTACCTTGTCCTGGAGGCATCACTCCACATCCTGACACTGTCGAGACAACGGCTAACAGCGAAATCATAAAAGGGTGCAGAGGTCTCTCCATGTTCATTTTGAATTTCAAAAAATCTGAGCGAGCAGAGCAGACTCAATTGGATATGTTGCTTATGCAACAGATAGTTTACCCACGCAACAACGGATTCGATACTCGGCACTTATGATATGTGTGTGACATCAGAACATTAGCACATGGACTTTTCCAAGAGCTCTAGAGATTCCCAATCTGTTCAGTTCAAAGCAATTTATTCAAAATAACATGTTGTAACGGATTCTAGTATTTTAGAGCAGAGTCGAATCGCGAGTGAGGTGAAGTGCATGGCAACTTCCAAATGAGAAGATGAGCTTAAAAGCTCATTAACCATAACATTTCAGTTTATGAGCCATTTTTTCAAGCGTTATGTGGTAAATTTGGCTCACGCCTTCTCATTTTGACGCTAAAACATACAATTCCGACTTCAAACAAACAAGACATACGCAAACGAAAAATCGCCTACGCTGCGTTTGCATTTTTATGAGAAAATCTGTGAAAGAAGATACTGTGAAGAGAAACGAAACATAACTTTTGGTGCAAAAGCAGTGATTTCTAATGGAATAGGGATCATATTCGTTAACGCTTATTAGTCTCTACCATTCAGTACTTCTATTATAATCTTTTTCTTGACGAAGAATCCAGTCGAAAATCAAAACAAGAATTTTTACAAATTTTAGTGAGGAACACAGGTATGAGATGGCACCAAGAATCTGCTAATATGAGCAAGAAAAAGGAAAACCGTTTCTGAATTGGTCTCAAGAAAATTAACTAAATCAGATTATCACATCTTGATGTTAGACACAGAAATGTCACTTCTATAGGATTCTGAGTGTACCAAGATGAATGAATAAACTAGATGAGACCACGACTGACGTGTAATGAGCTAAAATGTCCTTGGTCACCCTTTTAACGCTTCAAATTTCTCACCAAAGTGGATGTTTATGGGACGCCGTCAGTTCCTTGTAATTTCTCCTCAGTGTATAGATAAAATAAGTTTTCTTATTGCATATTTCGTATAGTGGAGGGTCACTCAATTCGTTTAATGGTCGTAAAGTCCTTAGCGACTTATCTTCATTCTCAGGCTTCTCTAAGAAAAATCGAGGAACTCGAAATACCGCTTTTCTTGTGAAAAGTGGTCAAATCAACTCATTTTTACATTTGGTTATCGAAATAACCCAAAAATGAATTAAAATAGTATTCACCGTTTCCCTCACTCCACAGGGCAGTTAGTAATCTTCTGATTACAAAAATCGGGCTACTGTGGTGAGCCGGCGAAAAAGGCCATTAGCTTTAGGATTGTTAATACCAGACCAGATACTGATGTAATTGAAGATAAACGACACGTAAGACAAATACCGCTGCCCTCTGCATAAGAACAATACACAGAACATTAGTAAGCATCACCTTGCAATATCGACTGTTTAAATAAACAAAGACCGCTCGCCTGTACTCCATCATTTGGCGACTAGATAGTGAAAGAACTTATAAGTCACTTCGCAGTAAAACTAGTCATCGAACGAAGGCTAGTGTGTTTCTTTAGAAGCCCTCCACTCATGGTTTTGCAGGGAATTTGTAATTTAAGGGCTTCAAGTCTCCACTCGAATTAGTTGACAGATGAAGTGAGTGAAGTAGCTGTTCTCAGCCTTAGTATCATAGCGAAAGTAGTCTAACACGAAACGAATTCTTTTTTATGTGCTAGCAATGCTAATCCAAAGGTACCATCACGATGTGGAATCATCTGGGTTTTTCTAACACCGAGTGGAGCTGAGCAAACAGTTCCGCCTTTTAGCAGTTCCGTTGTTGAAGCAATTTATTGATGTAGCAGTCCCGGTTGATTCAACTAAATTTCTGAACAGAGACACATTTGCTGCACCATTATTCCTGCATTTTGAATCACTACGTAAACCAATTTTTTTTTATACGTTACCAGTTTTGTCTGCAACACACACTTTAGGCAACAACAACTGTGTTCCGAGTTTTTACCTCAATTTCATCTCTACGTCTACAACGCTCTTAAGAAGCATTTTGAAAAAACAAGTATTCGATATCGCCAAGATTAAGTTATTGCATCACTAAAATTTTAAGGAAGAGCGAAAAAGGTGCACGTCTAGTATGAACCTGATTGTGTCCTTGCTACTACAGTTTCAGATAATTGTGAAGCCATAGCTTTGACATCGAGCGAACGGACGATTAGTTATTGTCTAACGAAAACGAGAAACTTGCCCTCAAAGGGTACAAGAATGCACCCCGATAACCGAAAGTATCTTTTTATCCAAAGTGGGCAACACTAAGACATTATTTCGTCCACGGACTGCTTCACCCTACTCGATTTATCTCAGAGCGACAGCCGTGAAGACTAACATGCAAAGAGATCGATCACCGAGAACGTCCTATTCAAATCATCGTGATTGTGATGAAGGCGAAACCGTCCATTGTTAGCCATAAAATTTTTATGACAACCTTGTCCAACATCATCAGTAAAACAAGTTATTGATAAATCATAGTGAGAATATGGATAAAGATCGGAAATGAACGTTGTTTGTAATTTTAAACGGCACACCGTCGAGTATTGGCAGGTATTGTCCTATATTAGCCGCCTAAACGCACATAGTTCTTTTCGCTTAGATAATAAGCTAAACTGATCACTGCAGCTTTCGTAACATCAAACAGTACAGTTCAGCACAGACGTGTTGTTAAGAGGACGGTGCCCTTGGCGTGTTGTCCTGGGAATTTACTCAGTGTCGCAACACACGAGCACTTGATAATTGTTGCGAAGGGCGTTTACATCTGTCAATGAGTGATTTCGAACTACCGAAATGTGATAAAATTGCTCTCATATCCAGCACCATGGCGAGAGTTTCTTAGCTGCGAGCTTAGGATATTACGGCTTTTCTTCTCACGGAGGAGAAAATGAGGACACAGTCAGTGTTACTAATCATCAGTTCTTTCCTGAGAAATTTGTGAGTCCTAAATATAACTAAACAAGCAGCTCCGTGTCGTTTTGATTCTATTGCTAAGCGACGAGCAGTTTTGTCGTGACGTTCTCCATCCGCTTCAGTGAGATGTTGTGCTCAATCAGTGGAGAAGAGCAATAGCTGTTTTCTCCTGATTTAAGAACTTATTGCTGAAGTTGAATATAGGAGAACTTGACTTGAACATCACATGTCTATGTAATACAAAGGACTGCGTTAATTGTCCCACGTTAGAGACGGCGGCTGCGTGAGAGTAGGTACAATATACCTTATCTCTTGTAAGACATGTTACGGGGGGGGGGGGCTGCACGAGCTAATATTCTCTTTACCGCTTGGTTGGGGTTTCCGTCTGAGCATGAGATTTAGGGGGGGTTGAGTATCTTGTGCAATATTTGCTATCGAGTCAGGGGGTTTAGTTAGACTAAGGAAACGAGAAGAGAGAAGGGGTATCTGGAGAAGAGAGTTTAGGACGTCGGCGAGAGCGGCGCCGTCTCTCTCTACGGAGGACGCGGCTTAGAGCGCTTGTCTCATTACGTTCGATCTTTTGCTCGCGTCG